ACCAAAAAGCAGTAAGAAAAGCACTACACCCTATGATAACATGAAAGCCGTGGTAGAGGGAAACATTAGACAGTAGTATCAATGCAGTCTTGCACTGAGAAAGAAAACCTAAACAAGAGGCCTGTTATACCACTGCCATCCCTACATTCTTCACTTAATATTTTTGTCTGCATCTGAAACCATTAAGCTGGAACAGAAAACAAACAAACAAACAACCCACAAAAAAACCTTTCACTCCAGAGCTAAACTAGGATGACTAACTGCTTGCTGTTCACCCATAAAAATCCCCTGACAAAATGAAACCCTTTAGGAAGACAAGTCAAGCTATATTGAGCTATAAAGCGCAATCATGAAATAAAAATGCATTGATCATGTAATGTTTTTTCAACATGCTATGAAACCACAAACCATTCTAACCAGATGTGTGAGTGTAAGGATATGAATACTGTTTATAAAGCTGTAGAAAATAAGGAATGCAAGATGGCAACACCGCCAGTGTTTTAATTAAATGCAAGCTGCTAAAACACAGCAGGCCTCCCAGAGTAGCATTTCCTCCATAAAAATTCATATTTAGTGACAAGATGTTCCCCAATTTAAAGTGGTAAGTTGATTGAAACACTGTGTAAGAAACTGGGTCATCCAGTATACACTAAGTGTAGTGATGCTATGTTTTTCCCTAACATTAAAATAAAGGCAAGGAGGCTGTTTTGTTTTTCTAGAAAAAGGTCATATTAACGAGTGTGGGCAGGGGATCATAAGTCAAGTAAGATTCTGAACTATCAAAGCCTTTATTTGAAATTTAGTAAGAGTTTATTTACTCTGTAATCAATGAGATTGTTGAAGAAGCAAAAGCAAAGCAGTATGAAAAAACAGTAAATCAAGTACTTATGTCAACCCTGTATTTTTAAGGTCATGTTATTTCTAGATTGTCTACATGACAGTCTATCAAAAAGAGATGAGTGCAGCTGGATGTTAATTTAGGTATACCTAATTTTCTGTTCCTGCATAACATGAGAAGCTCTTTTTATCGGCCTTCAGTGAGATCAACAGATCAACCAACACTTCTGTTCAAACACTAGGGGACGGGCAGGGAGGTAGGAGCAGGACACAGCGAGGAAGCAGAGAGGGAAGAGTTGGCCGAAGTAGTAAACAGGAAGTGATATCAGTCCTCAAAGTTCTCGGGAAAAAAAGGGTTCCTAAACAGCCTTTCTGCAAAAATTTCCATTTTCTCCAACAGATAGAATCACATCTACCAATACATTTCCAGATACAGCTATCGTACGCTGAATCTTAAATATTTATATTACTTTAAAACTTACAGAAGTGAAGGGAAAATACTCTTTAGGACGATCCTAAATTTGAGACAGGCTCTAAAGGGGCATAAGAACAATTATAAAATCCATCTTCTCTGTTACCTATGTAAAATGTAAAATAGATGTACATTAATAAAGTTCTTCATTGTGCTTGTGAAGGACAAGTTCTACATCCATCACTTCTCGTTTCTGGTGTTCATGTAAACCCAATAGCTAGGGTGCAAGTTAAAAAGCAAAAGTCTGAAAGTCTTGTTTTCACAGCTCTTTCCTTTTGGTAATGGCAGCTTCAATGCAAGTGACACCCAAACTTCTGCATTTGGAATTTTGAATTATTTAACTGAAAACACTTGTGAGTTTTAGGAACAGCATGTGAAAGTTTTAATCTTCAATAAAAACGAATGACACTGGATAAGTACTTATCCATCTCAGGCATAAACTCAGCAACATTTGTGAGAATATAGATGAAAATAGCAGAGGTTTGGTATGAGTAGTTACAGTATTCCTCCTCTTCAGTTTTCAAAAACAACAGACAATACAAGATTTTGATTCTTAAATTTATTTTTAGCAGGATGTGTGTACTAATGGATGGTGACATCATTAGAAGATAGGTCCATGTCCACCACCTGCAACAGAAGCTAGACAGATGTTAAAGAAAACAATTTAAGAGTTAAAAGATGACACTACTTACCCAGAGCAGACTTATGAAAGTCACCTACTAAGCAGTACAGTTAGCTTTTGATACAGACATGATAGTTAATAATATTTATCTGTTGTCAATATTTCCTGTCAAGATTTAATGCATACATTACCTTGATTTTGATGGGAATCATGCACTTCTCTGTAGGAATAACTATTAGAGAAACTCTTATTCTTAAAAATCTATTCATGGAAAGATCGGTTATTCAAAGTTACTTACCTGTAATTTTTCTACATAAGATAAAAGATCTGAAAATTTAGGTCTAAAGCTCCCATGTGAAGTTTAAAGTTAGCAAGAATTCTCTGGAAATTCAAATTCTAATACTGTTAAACCAGTTCAACAGCAGGTAGCACTTCTAAATGCCACTACGAATACACCCTACCTGGGTGTTTGACAAATCTATAAGGCAGGATCTCAGCAATATACTCACAGATTGGTGATACTAATTCAGAAAGAAATGAAGACTTGCTATGTTACAACCCAGAGACCATGGGTTTTATACTCAAAAATATGTTAATAGCTGGAAGTCTAACAAAGGAAACAAGCTTGTCTAGAACAAACTAATTTCACCAGAAATTAAACTTGAGCTGCAAAACTGAGGGAGAGACAGTTCAGAAAACACATTCTCAAAGAATTAGATGACAGAGTCTTCCCCAGTGCTATTTCAAATGAGAAGCCATGAAGCAAGGCTCAATCTGAGGTATGGTATTTCCTAAGCCTGTAAAAACAGAGTCCTTGCTTCAGAAAACAACTGCAAGTGGCTGCAGGTATTTGATATTTACATCAGAAGATAAATATTTCTTAATTAAAAAAAAAAAAAAAAACCTAAGTCAGCTGGCCCTATAGACAGTATCATGAAAATATCATGATCTTACATTTCAAAACTTCAGAATGTTTATCAGCCTGCACTTGCCAAACGAACAGGCACTACTGATAGTGAGCATAAAGTCACTTTAACACAAGTTTAGAAATTTGATATTAAAATTGTTGTTCTTTACAATCTCTTGGTTTATAGGTCCTTATTAGTACCCTGGGCTGACATCATCTTGGCTCATAGCTCTTTATTAGTAACCATCAGACTAAAAGCATTCTTAGCAGTATACCCCAACATCCTAGGGCTTCATCTGTTCAGAACACTGCTACAGATACTGAAGACTGTCTCCTGATTTCTAAAGACCTCTGAAACCAGCCTAAAACTGGAATGTGCTGCATTAGAATGAGATTCTTTAACAGTTTAAATAATTCAGCGAAGAAAATGAGTTTTAATGACGATGACAGCCTGGAAATATGCAAGTTTTCTCTTACAGTTCCAAACTGTTTGATTAGTAATATTGGGAAATTAAGCCATTTTGTATTTGTTGAAAACCACCAACGAGGGTGGGATCTGTTCACAGCTGCACTCCATTTGTAATTTCTAATTAATTGAGCTCTCTTGTTTTTAAGGAAGTATAAATCTGTCTGAAGGACTAAATCACTACCTTTTGAGCAAACCACTATCCCAGTGCTCTACTATATCTAAACAGGGTCTAATTGCTGGTAACGATCTACAAAGAGAAATTAGTCTCTCAAAGCAATCAGTCCTACACTGGTACTGTGGGAACTTGTCCTTCAAACACACACACACAGAGGGAAGGTAGGGCAGGGGCAGGTGATGAAAAGCTTAAGGCTTCCTGTTCTTTATCTTCCAGGTTCCACTGTGCAGCTGGATCAGTAGCTACTGCAACCAGCACTACCGTGCATACCATCTCTATCTTACATGAAGTTGGTTGATATTCTTCCCACAGGATAAACACAGTGAAGTTGATAGGAAGAACCTTCATCAACTGCTCTTCTGTGAGGCATAAAGCAAAGGAAGGAAATAGGAGGTAAGAGTAGTCTAGGAATGACACAACCAATCTGAATGATCACTTTGGATACATAATGAACTCTATTTTCCTGAACAAAGACACCAAAAAATCTGAACCAAAGTTATGAAATTATAAAAGGGTAAAGAAACCACGGAGTAAAGAAAATGTTCTTGTCAGGCCCATATGATGAAACCCGAAAAGCAATTAATTTGTGCACCATGTAAGCATATGCTGCAGTTACATGACACTGCAACTGTTCAGCTATCTCCCCTCGCTAAAGGATGCAGCTTCAGTTCTGTGACTGTAAACCCAAGTCAGCACTGGAACCTGTCTCAAAGCTGAGACAAGGGATTTGGAAAGCAATGGACATGAAATTATGGACCTGTTTAGAATATGTGGGATGTTCAACGAAGGCTTGACAATATTACACGGTAGCAAAGGAAAGCAAATGACTGGTAATAGTGAAGAACGGAATAACTTAGAGGATCGTTTGCTCATAATGAGCTATTCATTCTGCATCCGTCTTTTATTAATGATTTGTCCTGTCCTAATGGTGCTAGTGCTGCTAACCAGCTGTGTAAAAGGCTGTAGAAGCTAATAAAAATTACATTTTACTGGGTTTAATGGATGCTTGAGTCAGCGAAAAAAGGTGTTCTGAAACCAGCAATTAAATTCTTATCCTTTAAGTGGCCTCACAAACCTACAACTACCAGAAAGATCATTCTATCCACTGACAGGATATTATTAAACTATGTAATACATAACTAAGACTTACAACAATCAATGAAAAGAACAAGAAAAAAATTTACTCTATGAAGAATTAAGTTTGTTCTATTCAAGATAAGAATTTTATCTGCTCTTCTAAAACTAAGCACATACATATAACGAAGACTGAATAGCCTAAAAACCAGAAAGACAAACGCTCAAGAGATTACAGTTGTAACATCACCTAATGTTGAGCTGGTTTAATATGTTTAGAACACTAGAACCAAAGGAAACACTGTTAATAATACGCTGGAAGCAAAGACCCAACAGTGGCAGTTAAATATTTACCTTTGGAGAGAAAAGTTGTTTAGTCAAACTGAAAAACATTTGCAAGAACAAGCTTTAGTGAAGAATGGACTAAATCAAAATATTACGCACTTCCAGCTTATGCTCTTTCTCTGCAAGGAATTCTTTTTGACATCGGAGAAAGTCTGACAACATTCGAGTTAGCTGTTTTCTATCATCTATTTCAGCTGCCAACCTGCCATTGTAATCCGCCAGCAACATACATGCATCATCTACCATTTTGGAAAGTTGCTCTCCAGATTCCTTATCTAAAAAGCAAGCAGAAAAACACATGTAAAGCATGGTTTCATTACATACTGTTAATTTCTCTGAACAGCATTTCTGTTACTGGATTCCCCAACCCTCACCTGTTATTCTGTCTAACAGGGACACATCTTGGACCTCTATAGGCAAAGAAGCTATTCTCTGATGAACTGCTGCATCCCCAGAGGCAGCATTTTCTAGTTCTTGTAATGCTCTAATGAGATCTGTGGTCTGAAAAAAGCATGCAAGATTAAGAACTAGTTTAAATAAACAGATCTAGTACAAAACAGTATTTTACAATAAGCTTATGGAATCAATTTGACAGTAATTTTAACAGCATTTACGATATCAGCGTTAGAGCAATATTCTACCCATTCTCAGACCGAAAACAAACCAAACCCAAGCCATTAATTCTCAGAACATTGTAGCGTTTCTAGTTTTAAAGGTCACCTTCCTAAAATAGATTTTTCATTTAAATCATTGGTATAGGACTAATTATAAATCTTTTATTTTTGACAGTACTGATTATTTTACAGTATCTTTCATTTTACTATACATTTTTGAAATTATTTTTCTTGTAGTTTTGCTTTACTATTGCATCAGACTAGATTAGTGCATTTCTTTTGGAAGTGGGGCTGATATTCACAGACAGCCAGATGTCTGTTAGAGAAACATACTAAATTGTGATGGAGTACAGTCATTCCTTGCCATAACAAAAAGCCTTGTGAGATGGGGCAGTACCGTAACAAAAACACATAAGAATTATAAAAGCCATAACAATGAAAGGTAGACAAGAACTTATCCCAACCACCATGACTGCAACATTGAGAAATATTTTTATTGACAAAGTGATAACAATCTTAATTTAACACATTACTTGTTACCACCCTGGAAGCCAAATGAGAACCTAAAACATTCTGGAAACTAATGCTGAAATCCTGATGTGGACAAAACTGGATATATAGTTCATACATTCTGTTTTTGTGTAAAACTGACTAAAGTTCCAGCAAGCTCCACTTGTAGCCTAAAGTACCATGAAGAAAAGTTTCAGGTCTAGACATCCTTGATCAGAAACAGTACCTCATTAAAAAGAAAACCAGAGATCATTCAAAACCAAGAGTAACTGAAAATTTCTCTATCAAAGTATATGCAAATAGAGAATTTTATAAACATGCTTTTACCTGTGGAGGGTCAGTGGGAGAACTTCGGGGTGAACAGCTATTTTCATCAACTTTTATCTGTTCATATGTGCGCTTCCTCACCTTTCTGTCTCCATCTAAATGAAAATAAACAGAGGAGTCAGGGAAATAATACTTCAAACAAGACACCGAATCTTCATACACACACAGAATACTTACATAAAGCTTGCCTAAGTTGTTCTAATACATCATTTTCATAAACAGACCTTTCTTCCCAGATAGAGAGCACTCGGCCAAGGTGTTTCTTACAACTCTCATCAGACTCACTGTTACAAGGAAAAAAAGCAAAAATCAGCACTAGGTAGAAGTACAGCAGTGCTGTATGATTATCTTTCACAGGAGGACCTTGTCATACCTTAGAAATATCAAAGTATCCGAAGTCCAATAATCTCAGAAAATAGCAAAAAATGTTTTAAAGAAAGCAAATACCAGTTCAAGGTATCTTAGCACATTAAAAAATTCCCTCTTTCTGTTTGCTTGCTCAACCCATAAGTCTGTAGGTCTGCAACCCTATTACACAAACACTGCAAATAGGATTGTGTTGCTTCAACAGCTGTGTACCATGTGAAAATAATTCTGTGTCAAGACTCTAACATCCTCATGCAAAGAGATGAATGGCTGCTGGGGAAAACAAATCATGTAACACCAGTAATGAAAGATATCAGACTGTTGTAGTATATAAACTCAGACTGAAAGCAAGTCTTAATTTAAGGCATAGCTAATAGCTTTCTAAGGCAAAAGGGACTGAATACAGATGAATTTACTATGCAACTTCACCCAAAAGCATCAAGACTATCCAAGATCAAAAGAACACTGAATAAATTAAATTAACAAGACTTCAAGTACAGAAATAACATGCAAGGACTAGCTAGGTCAGAAGAGGTGAACTGAGGACTTCTCTAAATACCCCTCAAATAAGGTATGATGAAGGACACTGCACATGACAGTTTACTGTACCTTGAAACATGCTTAAAAGCCTCCACTATTACTGGAGCAAAGTCTTTCGTGAATTCTGGTCCTTTCCTTTTGCTGTTCTGTATGACATCATTGGCCAAGTACAGGAATGTCAGCTTCCTATTTGGTTTTGCTATTAAAGAGTCATAAACAAGAATAATTAGAAATTTTAGTCCTTCCAACTAATACCTATTTATCCATATTTATACTAAAACAAAACAAAAAACCACAAATCAAATGTTTTTTCTTAGTCTCACTACTGCTTACAACATTTCGCTCCAATTTTGTATTTAAAAATGTGAAAAGACTTTTGTCACCCATTGGCTTTTCTCTTCCTTCTGCTGTAACTCTCTACTTGGATTCTTCCTCTTTCGTAGTATGACACAAGTTCCATCTAGCACCATCTCCAAAAATAAACAGAAAAAACCCAAAATATTCCAAAGTGTCCTTCAGCCCCCAACTATTTTCATGTGTTTTCCTGATCCTTATGCAATTTGTCTCTTTGGGAGCCTTCATGGATTTCTTCCAAGTACTTCAGCTTCCCTGTAAGCCTGTATAGATTCCTTACACCCATGAAGTCCTCTGACAAGGAGCTTCACAGATCCACAATCATTCATGTGAAGCTCCTCCTTTCGGTTTGAATTTCACTCAGTCTTATATAACCACCCCTCATTCTCATCTTTGAGCAAACTGAACAGTCAATCCCTAGTCAGCCTCTCCATAACACTGTGATACTTCCCTCTCTCATACCCTAATCATTAAAACACTTCTGTCTGCAGTTGTAATATCAAGAAAACATTTTCAAAAATCACTTTCAGGTTGCTGTGGTGTATCTCTCCTCCAAGCATCTTAAGCATCCTACTCCTTTCCCATTAACATGCAATAGATTACAAGCTTTCAATTTACAAGTTGCTTTTGAAAAAGCTATTCCATGTTTTCTAGGTGTTCCTACTTAGGTGTTTTCATTTACCATCATACTTCATCTAATCTTCATTAATCTACAGGCTTCTCAGAGCTGCAACTCTTATTGTAACACTTCTCACCCTGTGTTAACACCATAAAAACTTTCAATATCCATTACTACCACACAGTCTCAGTATGTTTGCTGTGACTTAAAAGAGGTTTCTCTTAAAAGAGAAGATTTAAGTTTTTTCTGCCCTCTCGAGCACAGCAACACTGTGGTAAAGCTAATCTAGGATTTCTTAAAACTCATGCTTAGTTCCCAATATGATTTGATTTTGTTAATCTGCACTCCAACCTCTCAGATGTGCAGAACCACCACTCACATACAAACAAAAAGTTTAATGTTGGTATGTCTCCATTCTAAGGAAATGTTTTTGAGAATAAATTTTGCACTATAGAAAGACTCCTCTGAAGAATTTCTCCTTGGAGTACTGAATTTTCCCCACCCTCTTCAACAGACATATCCAACAAATTGAGTGTTCTGGATTAAGTGGGGAAAAAAAAAACAAAACAACAAAACAACAACACCCTGAATTAAAAGCAAAAATGGACCTATCTCTTCAAATCAAGGCCAACTAAAAAGTGGCAAAAAATAATTAGTCTGGGAGTGCTGGACACCAGGTGGATCTATCAAAAGTCTGCTTCAAACAGTGAAGTCACTTCATGCAAACACCCAGGAAATTCATCTATTTGGGTCAAAATCTGGCTAAATTAAAATGTAGATTTTATAAATTTGTTACTTAATCTCTATATTAAAAACTGACTGATGATATAGCAACACATCTCCTACCTATGTTCCAGGTAAATCATCGTTCTGACACATAGAGAGCTTTGAATTATTCAAAGAGAGAATCTTAAAAACCACATCTGTCTCCTGGGCGCATCAACTTTAACTAGCATTTACCAAAGCTGACCCTGCCCCCCGACCCCCCATTTCTTAATGAGCCCAGAATTAGGACTCAAAATCTAATGAAAGAGACTGTACCCCATACTACATCCTCTGAACTGCATGCAGGTCCTTGTCCATTCATTTCACAGGAAAAAAAAAAAAGTCATGTATTAATCCTCGGTGATGTAGCCCATTTGTGACAGATCTCAACTTCTTTGTTTCCAACAAGTAACAAAATCAATTGAGCTGGTAAAGACAGGAGATATGTGAGGTGCCATGAAGTCAGGCAGTGTTGATTCTCACAAAGACTAGACTTGATCTATTCGCAACAGTAAATAGATCAATGTATCATGTTTGGAAAAAGCATGCTAAAACCCAGAAAGTCACTTTCAATCTTAATTCATCTAGTATTACCTTTTCTTCTTTCTACTACAATTCAACTGAAACAAAGCTGTACGTAAACAAAAAATCCTCAAAATATTAAGATATCTGTGGCTTTGGTTAGAAATTCAACTAATATTCTACCCTTACGTTCACAAAGAATATCATGAAGTAAAATTTAATTTCTCTTTTTGTAAGAATGCTCAGTGCAAAATTTCAAAGCTAAAAATTATGCCTACTCTCGAAAAGTATTCCCTTTCACTTCACAAATCTTCAGGAGTTACATACTGGCCTACTACCACTCTGCTTTACACACCAGACTAAAGTGCAATGTAACCTTTAGCAACTGAGGTTGACAGTTCCGAGCTGAGAAAACATGAAGTGATCTACTGCTACTATGACTGTAAATTAACCACTGAAGTCTGAAATACAGAATTAAATTCCAGATCAGATAGATCTGCTCTGCAAAATTACCAATTTAAAGCATCTCTCCAGTAGCAGTCACAGTAACTTTTCAAGCCTGGACTCTGATATACCTCAGAACATCAAAATGGATCAAAGAACAGTTAGAATATTTAAATTAGTGTCCTCAATGGATGGCAAGGCTATTAGCAAAAGCACTCTTACTATCAGAAGAAAATGGAAGAAAAAAGGTGGTATCTTAGGTTAAGAAAGGATCTGCCAGAATGTTTTGTGTTAGTAGGAGCTAGCTCACAGTATCTCTGGTATCCTAAGAGTCTGCAAACACAAAACTGCTAAGAAAGCATCCATGTTGGACTGAGTTATCTTTTAAGGAGCTCTGTTCAGTGTTCACGTAACTCTTCTGCTTGTTTCAGTTAGATTTACCATTTACCCACCAAAGCAGCTCCCTGAAGCGCTGGATTCTGAAGTATTTTATCTGGTCAATAGTGCTGACTGGTTAAGGCCCATACCAAGCAGATTCCTCTTAAAGCATACACAATGAGACTGAGATTGGCCCCTCAGGCGCCTATGGTGCAGAGACTTAGCATACTCATTATCAAGTCTTAGTTTTCAGCAATCTATACTTCTTATGAACACATACTTGTTAGCCTGGCCTGAGTATTCTTTGTTCTCTACCAGTCCAATAGAGATGCCCTGACATCGTATGCTTGAGTCCATAATACTTCAAGAACTCTAACACTGGCAAGCCACCAGTTTAGCGCAAGAAATCCTAGTATTTTACTTTGGTAGGCAGTAAGCATGTTCTTTCACTGTTTTTTTCAGAGGTTAACTCTGGCAATCAAAGTCAGCATAATCACTCGTATTTGTGTTCTCCAGTTTTACTTCCTGGCTGCTCTACATCTCTTCCCTAGAGCCGAGAGATACTTGTTGCCTTAGACATACAAGAATAAGCTACAGAGAAACACACAAGCAGAAGGGATTTCGCTTACATCCCATTACAAGTGTACAGACTACTGATTCATCCAAAAATGTCACATCAGGCTTTAACTTTCTGCAGGTTGGCTCTGCTATGCCAACTGACCTTGAATGAAAATACCATTTAACAAGAGGTTTTGAGAAAATGAGCATCAGCAAGTTAAAATCCCTCAACAGTTACTGGCACTAAACAGTTTCTTTTTTGCTAAAGTTCTCTAATACGCATTCAAATAAAGATTTAGCTCAACTGCTTTTGAATTACATTAGTCTATATATGTGCAGCAGAGTATATGAGTATTAGCACTTCTCCCAAAATCCCTGGGATGCTTCCTGTGTCATAGCATGCTCCGTACCTTTGCAAGAGAAGTTACAGACGTCTTTGAAAACCCCTGTCAAGCTTCCAAGCTTTTTATTACAAGATCTAGCATCTTTAAGTGAAGCAACACTGAAACTTGAGTGCAACATAACTGATCCTTCACACTGAGAGCTAACCTGAGTCTTCATGCAAGCTGATTAAGTGCAGCATCCTTGGTAACGTGACTGAAAGTATATCTGTAAAAAGTCACTTGAAGGGCTACCACCAGAAAGGACAATTCAAAAATAATATTCATAAAAGGCATGTTGTACAACAAGCACTTAATAGTAAAATTCACTAAGCTTCTGTTATGAAAAAGTTAAACTAAGCATTCAACATTCCACAGTCAACTGATTCTCCTGGTGAATTTTACCAAGGTTTGAGAACAGTTGTGTTTCCTTTTTGAAGTGGGGAGTGTGTGTTCAAGGTATGAAGGTCCAAGTGTCTTGACTTAAGAGTTTGGAGGCTAGCAGACAAAGGGTACACAGCACACAGCCACTGCTGGAAAAGAGGCCATCAGCATCAAATTACCCTGGGGATGTGAGAAAGTTGGTCACAAACCAAGGAAACCATTCTAACATAATTACTCTGCAGAAGCTGCACACTTCACTTAGTGTATCTTGAATTACCTGAACACATGAAACAAAACAATTCCTTTCGTTGCCTCGCCTGGCTGGTACAACGCTAAGATGGATACAAATCAATAGCAACAACAACAGTTTTAGGATAGGAAAAAGACACTGCACTTAAGTATTCAGAACCGGAACGATGAGAAGCAGGTACAGGTAAGATAACCGGGACACAAGTGGTATGGAGATAAATGAATAGAGACTTATACACACTGCATTATTTCAGGACTAATATTAGAACGTCAACTAGTCAGACTGGATTACACAATCCAAATGTAACCATTTCAAGTGAATGATTCTGATATCGCTAATGTGTTGCTCCCGGCTGTAGGTCATTTTGCAAATCGTATGTAGCAAATACATTTCTCTAACTTGACTCGACAACTCACATTCACCTGAAGTTTTGCCTGCTGTTGGCTCATCTCCAAACCTTTTTGCATAGATGAGAAGATTCATGTGGATAAGCACTAAGGTACCCACGAGCTCCTCCATCTTAAGTATCTTATCGGCCTCCTCAA